TTTTATTATAAACGACAAATGCCAGGTATTTTATTATAGCTATACTGATCGAATTGGGACAGTAGACCTATAGGGATAGTAAGCCATGGTTTTTAAGTAGTCAGAAATATAAAAATAGGGGCTGGCATTGTGGCATAGTAGGTAAAGCTGCTGCCTGTGATGCCAGCATTCCATATGGGTGCTGGTTCAAGTCCTGGCTGCTCCACTTCTGATCCAGCTTCTTGCTTGTGTGTCTGGGAAAGAGGTGGGAGTTGTCCCAAGTTCTTGGGCCCCTGCACCCATGTGGGAGACCCAGAACAAGCTCCTCACTCCTGGTGTTGGTCTGGCCTATCCCTGGCCATTGCAGCCATTTGGGGAGTAAACCAGTAGATGGAAGACTGATCTCTCTCTCTCTCTCTCTCTCTCTCTCTCTCTCTCTCTCTCTCTCTCCATTGCAGCCATTTGGGGAGTAAACCAGTAGATGGAAGACTGATCTCTCTCTCTCTCTCTCTCTGTCTCTCTCTAACTCTTTCAAATAAATAAATAACTTTAAAAACCAGAAGAACAGAAATAGGGATCATTTAATAGAACCTCTCAGGGTAGGAGCTATGGGCCCATACTCTTGGATAGGCTGGCCAAGTCCTGATACCTTGTATAATGTTGTATGTGTGAGTCCCATATGGCCTCCCCCAGGCCTTGAGTGTCAATACAGATCTATTATCATTAGTGCCCAAGCTATGAAAGCTCTTTATTTCCTCTCTTGAATCACTCTCCTTATTTTAGGCATTCCCAAGGTGGTATTTGCTTACGTTGAGAAACACAGCCACTCACATTTCTCTGCTCCTGCCTCCTCGTTAAGCTCCTTCTGCGGCCCTGGGAATGCGTCTGGACAGAATCAGTCCTCACAGTGATCTTTCGTCCTGTTGCTGGACAAGTGGGCTTCTTCTCTGTGCCCTTCAGTTTCTGGTTCAACCTTCTTTCCATCATTATTCAAAACCAGAGCCTAGAATTGCGAGGGTGTGGAAGCCATCTCGTGTTCATCTCTTTCTTCCTCTTCTGGGATCCCTGCTCACCCCAGCAAAGAAATGCATTTCTTGTCTTAGTCCAAAATGAGCCCCTCTTGATGGTCAGCGCACAAGGACTGACTTCTACAGGATCCCAGGTCACCAGTTCTTCCTTCAAGCTGGTTTGGATGTAAACTAGGATATCCTGCTGCAAAGGCAGTTTACCTGAAACAGGAAATATAAGGGACTGCAGAAGTGCCCAGAACAGCAGGAAGTGAGTTTCAGACAGGCGTAAAGGACAAGCGGGATTCATCAGAGGACAATAAGACCTTCTGATTAGGTTTGAGATTGCCTGCTGACCATGACAAATAAGAACTTCGTTTATATACCCCTGTTCCTCTGTACTACAGCTCAACACAGCGAAAAAGACAGACTACAGAAACTTAAAAATAGAACATTCAATATTTCTACCTTTGAGAGAAATGACCCTGGAAAAAAGCTATTTTACGTGTAATCTCTTGTGTGCATTCGTATGTTCTACCTCTAATAATAATAACTCATTGGTATATAGAGACAGACCTCATTTTAAAACACATCTATTGTATGATATGTCATTTTATCAACTGGTCATCTAGTCATGGACATGTGGCTTAAGAAATATTATATTTAGAAACAGCAATATAGCACATAATTATCTTTCATAAATAACAACTCAATGTCACATTGCAATTTTCAGCAGAAGCGAGTCTGAATACATTCTGTGCCAATGACTAATGTCCACAGTGGGGAAGAATCCTTAAGAAGGACCTTGTTTATGCATATTCCATATAATTAAATCATTTATGTGTTTTAATTCTGGATTCATTTAAGAATTAAGGCTCAGGTGTAGATGAGAGTGTAAAAGCTCATTTCCAAAAGTATGCTTGCAATTTTACAGCTCACAGCAAGAACCAGACCAATTCAATATGTTTTAATATCCAGCACCATTAATCACTGTCCTGCTTAAGCTGGTTCCTCTTTGTTGAAACAGATCTGTGATGACTTGCTCTTCTAATTCTTCTTCCTGCTGTTGCACTTGCATTGCCAGCTCCATCTATGGACAGAGGAAGGAGGCCTGCCACGCAGGCTTCTACGTAGGGCACCACACGTTGGGGCCAGCAGGAGGGGACCGTTACCAGAGGCCCCATAGTGGCACCACACATTGAGGCCAGCAGGAGGGGACTGTTGTCATTGGCCCCATACTGTTTGGCTTGAACTTGGCCCTGTCCTTCCCAGTCCCATAGGCCCCACATCTGCTAGAAGGCCTGGCCCCAGGACTTCCATGTTGTCTTCCATTTTGTCTCCAAAGCATCTGACCCAGTTTCTTAATCTCCTAAACTCTCCTCCAGGTTCTTTTGGAACTTACGTCTGTCACAGCAAACTCCCCTACTTCCTCAGCTGTTGTCATCCACCGCTCTGAGCACCCTCTCCACCTGCTGAATGGAGCTGAAGTCGGAGTAGTTCCTACAGACACCACCTCTGCTGCAGGCAGTTTATTGTTGATGTTATATTATTATTCCTCACAGTACAGTTGCTACAGCTGCTGTGGTTTGGGTGTGGTTCTCCAGAAGCTCTCTTTACAATGTGGGGTACCCTTGGACCAGGCACGGTGGCAGTGTGGTAAGCTGCAGCACTGGCAACCCATATCAGCACCAGTTTGAGTCCTGGCTGCTCCACTTCCTATCTAATTCTCTGCTAATATGCCTGGGAGGGTAGTGGAGGATGGCCCAAGTCCTTGAGCCCCTGCACCCATGTGGGAGACCCACACAGAAGAAACTCTTGGCTCCTGGCTCCTGGCTTCAGCCTGGCCCAGCCCTGGCCATTGCAGCCATCTGGGAGTGAACCAGCAGATGGAAGATCTCTCTCTCTCGATCTCTTGATCTCTCCTTCTCTCTCTCTCCCCCACCTCTTTTCATCCCTCGCCCCCTTCTCTCTCTGTGACTCTGCCTTTCAAATAAATAAAATCCTGAAAAGGGCCGGCGCCGCGGCTCAATAGGCTAATCCTCCACCTTGCGGTGCCCGCACACCGGGTTCTAGTCCCGGTCAGGGCACCGGATTCTGTCCCAGTTGCCCCTCTTCCAGGCCAGCTCTCTGCTGTGGCCAGGGAGTGCAGTGGAGGATGGCCCAAGCGCTTGGGCCCTGCACCCGCATGGGAGACCAGGAGAAGCACCTGGCTCCTGGCTTCGGATCAGCGTGGTGCGCCGGCCGCAGCAGCCATTGGAGGGTGAACCAACGGCAAAGGAAGACCTTTCTCTCTGTCTCTCTCTCTCACTGTCCACTCTGCCTGTCAAAAAAAAAAAAAAAAAAAAAAATCCTAAAAAGAGTGTGGAGTACCCTGAGGGCCTTTTATCTTCAGAGCAAGGATGATTTGCAATTCCAAGTTAGGAGAACAGCCCTCAGCTATCGGACGACCACTCCGGAACTGTACTCTGATTTGCTCCTCAAACAGCTCTTTAGGAAATGCTTCCTTTCCATGAGTGACAGCATAATCCTGCTCAAGTCACGCATCTAAGTTGTCACTGTCGGCACTGGTTGGCTATCACCACACTAATAGTGAGCTGCAAACTGCCCTAAAACCTCTCGCTTTACATGGGTCTGCCAGGATAGCTCTGCTGCTTGAAGTTGGTTTTCCTGGAGGCCTGCAGGTTGGGCTCATGGGCATGAGGCCAGCAGCTTTGCCTCATGTGGCAAGTGGTCTTAAGTCTGTTCTCATTCACCTCTCAGGATCAGGTGCCACTTGGCCCTGGCAAAGCCCAGGAGGGGCTTCCTAGGCATTTGAGCACCACTTCTGGGATACATCTGCTAATGTGTTATGACCAAAGAAAATTTCCTGGCAAACCTGAAGTCCTGGGTGGGGAAGAATACTCCCTGTTTCACAAGAGGTACTGTAAAGTTACATGTCAAAGGACATGTACACGCGTGTGTGTGTGTGCACGTGTGTTGTGGGGAGCAACCCGGACTAGACTAAGTTACTGGAATTAAGACTTATTCTATGCATCTGCTCTCCCACAATGTGGCGCTAAGAAGGGAGAAACAGCTTCTACACAGCTGCCTCCAGTTCAACCAATAAACTGTAGGACCTACTCCTGATTGGAGGAGAGCAGCGTACTCGGCGTGTGGGTAGCAGAGTTGGGATTGGTGGAAGAGGACTATAAGGGAGGAGAGAGACAACATGCACCAGGAACATCTATCTGAAGGAACACCTGTGCAGCCCCCAAGAGAGCCGGCCGGCGGTGTGCCGCTCCCCCGCGGAAGTGGGGAAAGTGGCAGGGGGAACCGCCCTTCCACGGAGGTGGAAGGACGGCAGCCAACCCGGGAAGAACCAGCAGCAAACCCGGGGAGGGCTGAGCAGACAAAAGAACAGCGCAGGGTCCTGTGTCGTTCCTCCACGAAGACGGGGAGCGACAGTGTGTGACAGACTGGGACCCATGATTCAGTTTGTCACACCCTCCTCTGACCTCACGCTGGTTCTGGCCGAGTGGGGCCGCCTCTCTTCCTGAGCACAGCAAGCCCCCCACTAGGGCTGTTTGTACCGTGGTGCACTGTGTTCTCAGTTTATTGGTAGCTTCAGCATGAAAGTTTGCTTTCCAGAGGACTCCAGTGACATGACAGCTGTTCCTTCTCTTTCTCCATGTTTTGAGCCCTTTATTTTTATTTTTGATGATCTATACCCTTAGAGCATTCATTGACTTGAGGATAGATCTCAAAGCCTTTCAGATTTACCATCAAATCAATAAAACACTTTTATTTTCCTTTAATACTGTGAAACCTGCCAAAAGATGAAAAACAAATTAATTTGCTCTGCATTTGCTCAATAGGCATAATGGGCAGTAGGCAGAACATGAGGAGGGAGAAACGCTTTTAATGGAACTTCAGAGTTTGGAAGTTGAGTTGACTTGGATTTCGTGAGCATCTCCGTTTAATAGATGTGATGTTCTAAGGCATTTAAAAGCTCATTTGTTTTCCTTTGTGTTACAGTGTCTACAGTGGTCAGTGGGTGCGAATTCGCCTAGTGCGCAGCAGGTGTGTTTTGGAGTGTTTGTGACTCTGGAGAGCAGGGGATGCAGAGGTGGAAGGGCCAGATACAAGGCACAGCTCTGGAAGGGGGGGTGGGCCCTGGAGGCACCTCAGCCTCAGGTTCATGGATGAAAAGGACTGGTGTGGGAATTCGAAAACTTTTTCACATACAAGAAGAGGGAAAGCCAAGCTGCTTCCTACTCTGCTGGGTTGGGAGAGAGTGCAGGAGCCACTGTGCTGGTTGAGTAGAGGGGGAGGCCCAGGGCATGTGGTCCTGTGCACAGCTCAGAGGCACCTCACCATCACTGATGGACATAACTGGCCAGCATAGTAGAGGGCTTCCTGCAGCTCCGCCATGCTGATCAGTGCTTTCCCAGCTGAAGTCATTAATCCTTACACTGACCCTGGGCGGCAAGTACTGTTGTTGCATCTCCATTGAAGATGAGGTCTAAAGGCTTGCCTAAGGACCATCACCTGGCATGTGAAGGGTCCAGCCAGATGCACTGGGACCCCTACAGTACTGTGTACACCCCCTGGGCAGGGTAGTACAGCATCTGGAACTCCAGAATGGTGGTGAAAACCCAGAGGGCACCAAGGGATGTACTTTTTAAAAAATATTTATTTATTTGAGAGAGCTACAGACAGAGTGGGGGAGACAGAGAGGTCCTCCATTCTCTGGTTCACTCCCCAAAAGGCCGTGACAGCCAGAGCTGGGCCAATCCGAGGCCAGGAGCCAGGAGCTTCTTCTGGGTCTCCCACGTGGTCACAGGGGCCCAAGCACTTGGGCCATCCTCCACTGCTACCCCAGGCATTCAGCAGAAAGCTGGACTGGAAACAGAACAGCCAGGACTCAAGCTGATGCCCATGTGAGATGCCAGCACCACAGGTGGAGGCTTTACCCGTCACTCCAAGTGCCAGCTCCAAGGGACGTATTTATAAATTGTCTGCACTTTGCCCACTCTAGAGGGAAAGAAACTGTGATGATGGTGACCAGGTGAGGCATTCACCTGCAGTTGTGTTACCTGCAGGAACAGCCTGGGAGCCACTCAGCCCCTGTTAGAAACCAGGAGCTCGACACCCCTGAGAGTCTGGTGGAGTTTTATCAGCCAGGAAGCTCATACACACCTTCACCTGTTCCACCATGTTTTAGTAGCTTTTATCCAACAAGGAGAAGGTATCTGTTCTTATTTTGTGTTTCTCTCACTATCCGGGGGTGCTGTGTAAATCCATGTGCTCATATCAGATGTCTGGGAGTCTCTATACCTGGTGGGCCTAGACATTTGTCACTGCAGCTCAGTCCCCTGTAGCCCCTCCCACTTCTGTCCTCCCCGCCTCTTCCCTCCTAGAGGTGGAAGAGTACAAGGAACTGGAAGCTCCCTAAAGGCAGGAACTACCGTGGATGAAACTGCTGGGCATGAGAGTAATTTGGAAGCAGCTATGGTTTTCCTTCCATGACTTCCTAGCTTTGTCCCGCCCTTTGCTGCGAGACTGATTGCCTGGCGTGGAAGGTCAGACATAGCAGAAGCAGCTTAGTTCTATGTGAATATTCTGCAGAGCCAACTGTTGCTGCCCCCCATCCCCTTCCCTGTGACTATGAAGTGATGCAGACGAGCCTGTTTGGTAAACCACAGTGATAAGTATAATCTTAGAGCTTGTGGAAGGCTTCCATTGCTTGTAAACCTTCAGTTCTTCTCCCTGGGAAAGAGCTGTTCGTCTCTCCCCTGGTGATGGCAGGCGTGGCCATGTGACTTGCCTTGGCCACTGACATGAGCAGAAGCTTTAAGAGCCAGCATGAGGTCCACCACGTTCTGTGTTCCCGGCTCTGTGTTTGCCCAGGCGGAGCCTCTGTCAGGCTGGATACCCCAGGGTCTTTGGTGGGCAGGCAGAGTCATCACTGACCCGGAATGGCCTGCACAGGAGACAGGAAATAATCAATGTTCTGACCTGCAAAGACTTGTCAGGTTGTTTGATAGCCTATTCTGTACTGACTGGCAAGCAGCTGAAGCCTAGAAATCTTAGGATGCTTTTAGGAAATATACTCTGTTGTAAAACGTCAGTGTTGCTGTCAGTAGCCTAGAGTGAAATGCTTTAAAAGAAGCAAGGAGAAATCCTTGGTTTTTGTTCATACTGAAGAAAAAGCTGCCTGTTTAATTTGTTGTTGTGTCCTTATTTTTATCCAGATCTTACGCCTGTACCTGGAGCTTGTGTTTGATTGGCATAGCCATATCTCAGTCTTTGGAAGATGCAATAGAGTGTATTTTTATGTTTTCTTTCTCTCTTTTTTTTAAACTTATAGTTCATAAATTTTGTTTTACATTGGAGTCAGGGGAGATGAAAAAACTGGCTGTTGCTTTAGGATACCATTTTATACATTTGTACTCCATTGTCCTGTGTAGGGTTACTCAGCTTGTTGAAAAGTATGCTCTTCGGCCGGCGCCGCGGTGCCGGCACACTGGGTTCTAGTCCCGGTTGCGGCACCGGATTCTGTCCCGGTTGCCCCTCTTCCAGGCCAGCTCTCTGCTGTGGCCAGGGAGTGCAGTGGAGGATGGCCCAAGTGCTTGGGCCCTGCACCCCATGGGAGACCAGGAGAAGCACCTGGCTCCTGCCTTCGGATCAGCTCGATCAGCGCGGTGCGCCGGCAGCGCACTGGCTGCGGCAGCCATTGGAGGGTGAACCAACGGCAAAGGAAGACCTTTCTCTCTGTCTCTCTCTCTCACTGTCCACTCTGCCTGTCAAAAAAAAAAAAAAAAAAAGTATGCTCTTCAAAATGGAATAGTTTGTTTGAAGAACAGTTAATTTCAGCAGTTTATATAATAATTATACAATTTAACCTTTTAAAAAATAAAACTTAAATAGATGAAAAGTCATTGTTTAAGAAAGATCTGTTTTGGGCCGGCGCCATGGCTCACTAGGCTAATCCTCCGCCTTGCGGCGCCGGCACACCGGGTTCTAGTCCCGGTCGGGGCACCGGATTCTGTCCCGGTTGCCCCTCTTCCAGGCCAGCTCTCTGCTGTGGCCAGGGAGTGCAGTGGAGGATGGCCCAAGTGCTTGGGCCCTGCACCCCATGGGAGACCAGGAGAAGTACCTGCCTCCTGCCATCGGATCAGCGCGGTGCGCCGGCCGCAGCGCGCTGGCCGCTGCGGCCATTGGAGGGTGAACCAACGGCAAAGGAAGACCTTTCTCTCTGTCTCTCTCTCTCACTGTCCACTCTGCCTGTCAAAAAAAAAAATTAAAAACAAACAAACAAAAAAGAAAGATCTGTTTTTTAAAAATTAAGTCTACCTGAAACTAGTTCTTTAGTTTTAAAATTTTTGTTTGAGAAGCAGAGAGAAAGAGAGTGCAAGCACCCCCATCTACTAGAGGACTAGAGCTGGGATTTTAATTCAGATCTCCCATGTGGGTGGCAGGAACCCAACTACTCGATCTACCACTACTTCCTCTCAGGGTCTGCACTAACAGGGAGCTGGAGCCAGGAACCAAACCCAGGTCTTCTGAATGTGGGATGCATGTATCCTAACCAGTGTCTTAACCACTGGGCTGAGTACCTACCTCCTTAGTTTATTTTAAGTGAAAATAACAACACTTAAAAACATATTACTGGGGCTGGCACTGTGGCATAGAAGGTTAAGTCTCCGTCTGCAGCGCTGGCAACCCATATGGGCAACGGTTTAAGTCCCAGCTGCTCCACTTGTGATCCAGCTCTTTGCTAATGAGCCTGGGAAAGGAGCAGAAAATGACCCAAGTCCTTGGGCCCCTGCACCTGTCTGGGAGACCCAGATGAAGCTCCTGGCTCCTGGCTTTGGCCTGGCACAACCCTGGCCATTGCAGCCATTTGAGGAATGAACCAGCAGATGGAAGATTCTCTCTTGCTCTGTCTCTTTCTTTCGTTCTGTGTCTCTGCCTTTCAAATAAATAAATAAACCTTTAAAAATATTTATTACTGCCATTGAAACATATTTCATGAAATAATGAGCCATTTTTCTAGTAAAGCTGTATTGCTAGGTAAGTATCAAGGATTTTAAAGTCATGTTGGGGCAGACATTTGACCTAGTGGTTAAGACAACTGCATCCCATATCAGAGATCCTGAGTTTAATTCCTAGCTTTCACTTTGATTCCAGCTTCCCAACAGTGCAAACCTGGGAGGCAACAGGACCCTCCCAGTAGGGAGCTGGACCCTGCTGCCCATATGGGAGAACTGGATTGAGTTCTTCTTTGTTTTAAAGATTTATTTGTTTATTTAAAAGGCAGAATGACAGAAACAGGGAAAAAGAGGGAGAGAGAGGGAGAGGGAAAGAGGAAGGGAGGGAGAGAGGGAGAGAGAAAGAAATCTTCTGTCTTTTGATTGACTCCTCAAATGCCCACAATAGCCAGGGCTGGGTTAGGACCAAGCCAGGAGCCAGGAACTCTATCAAGGGCTCCTACGTGGGTGGCAGGAACCCATCATCTGCTGCCTCCCAGGCACATTAGCAGGAAACTGGATTGGAAGCAGGAGTAGCTGGAACTTGAACCCGGTGCTTCATCATGAGATGCAGGTGTCTCCAGGGGCTCTTAACGCAGCTGCACTACAACAGCCACCTTTCGACTGAATCTTGGCTCCTGGCTCTGGCCCTGGGTCCGACTCCGGCCACTGCAGGCATTTGAGGCAGCATTGGATAGGAGATCTTTGTCTGCCTGCCTTGGCCAGGAGAAAATAGGGTGAATGACTTTACAAGGTTATTTCACATGTAGTATGAGTGTGTGTGTGGGGTGGGGGGACAGCATTTTCTCCCTCTGTATGTGCAAAGAGTGAGATGTTAATTAAATTTTATTTTGTTGTCTAGGATTTTTGCTGTATTCTTGCACAGAGAGTCCAAGAACAATATCAAGAAACTTGCGGATTTCTCAGGTACACATTTTCTATAGATAATTTCTTTCTATAGATAATTATTACAGTTGTGAAGGAAAGTAATTGACAGATCATTTGATATATCTGATTTGAAATTCAGGCTAATCTTTTACAATGTTCACTGTGGTGTAAAGTGCAGGATGTGGTGGAGAGTGAGTGGGCCTTGGACACACACAGCTACACCCGAATCCTGTGGTTACACTTTTAGTTATGTGTGTTTTGTCAGGTACATTTCCTCTTCCAGGCTTAGTGTTTCCATGTATAAAACGGACCTAACAGTACCTTCCTTCTTGGGCTGCTTAAACTAAATAAGGTACAACAAAACATTTTTCTTTTTTTAAATACCTAGAACAGTGCGTGCCACTTTATACATATTCTATAAACACTTGTTGCCTGAATACGTAGCATAGGTAAAAATACTAACACTGATATGTGAGCTCTGTGTTTGCTCCGTTTCTGGACCTGTTGCTCTGTTCTACTGCCCTGTCTGTTCTGGAAGCGTCACCAAATCAGTCAGGGCATTCACCTGTCAGGAGTTAGCAGCAGGTGCGCGTGGGGACATGTGCGTCCTCTCGGAGACTGTTGACTTTAAGATTTCATGACGCAGATGCAGTTGGTGAGGTTCATAGTATTCGTGAATTTACCACAATGACACCAGACCAGCCATGTCTTCCATGAATGAACCAGAACGTGAGACGAGAAGTGGAAACTTTTTAAAAATCAAAAATAACCATCGGCAGTGGCTGCGGTCATTGAGGTCAAGCGCAGCTGAATCTGTGCTACTTCACTTGCTTTTGGCTCTGTGTAGCGGCGCTCCGTCAGCTTGCTCTTGCTCCTGCCCTCCTGCTCCACTCCGGCTTTGGTGTGAGAACAGCCTCAGAGAAAGGGAGGAATAAGAAATGCAGCACACTTTTTCTGGTTGGAAGTGTGTGAGCTAAAGGGAGAGGCACGTGACAAAAATGTGTTACCCAGCTAGCGAGCAGGCAGCCCGTAGAATCTCAGTGTGCAGCACCGATGACGGAGGAGAGCCTGTGTTCAGGAAGACACAGAAGCCGCCGTGGGGAGGGTCAGGGCGAATGGCGTTGCAGAAGGGGCTTCGGGTCTCCACCTTGAGGGAAGGGCTGTTGATGGCACAGTGGCACCCTCGACCCAGGCAGGGTAATATAGCACCTTAGAAGCAGGAAACGCCTGTGTGTCTTTACACAGGGCTGGCCATCCCAAGGAATTTCATATCAATTCTAAGTGACAGATAAGTGAAGAATTAGCCATTAGGGTTCCGGGTAGGTGTGACTTCTTTATTACTGTTCGAAGGGAATCAGTCATGCTATGATAGCTGGGGAATATGCCGCCAAAGGCAACATTTTCCCTTCTAGGAAATACTCTGTGGAAAATTTTGCTTGTGCTATTTTGGATTCAATGTCCTAAGGCCCACATATTTCTGCAAAGAACAGCTTTAAGTCCTGGGCCAGCAGAAAGTTTGCCAAAGGTACAGTAGAGGCAGTGTGGCATGCTAGCATTTAGTCCTGGTGTTGCTTCTTATTCGCAACTCTGGACGAATTTTGAACCTAAATTTTAGAGCATGTTTGGATATAAAATGCATTAACCGGGCGTTTAGCTTCTGTCAGCCTGATGCTGTAACAGCCATCCTACGTGCATATGCTGGACACACCTTGTTCTGGACCATCCAATAATATGCCTGAGTCACCTTAGCCTCCTGCCTCCTTCCTTCTCTCCCTGCACCCTTAGGAGTCTCCTTCCAGAGGCCTGACCTTCAAATACAGACCAGCCAGTTGATGCAGAGTCCACACGTCCAATCGTGTTCTTTTGGGCTTGCACACTCCGAGTTCTGTTACACCTGGCTCGGACCCTGGGCTCAGGTACCGGACACTGAGGAGCAGCCTTGTGCTCCAGAGCCTGTGAAGTGATTGCGACCAGCCAGTCCTCCCGCTGGTGATCCTGCCTCAACTGCTGCTTCCCACGGAAGCCACAGTCCTCCCTTCCCCCATCCCGCCAGGACCGACACTAATGCTTCCCCGTTTGGCCACATCTTCTTGGGAACTGGGAATAACAAACCCTCTCCTTCATGGCAGTCATCTGCTCTCTTGGCCTCCCTGTTCCTTAAGTTACCTTCTAGTATGCTGCGCTTCTAAACAAGAAGCTGACTCCTCTGAGCGTTTTACAGTCTCGGGACCACGGGCTTTGAGGCAGTCTTCGTAGGTCACCTGCCTGCCTACCGTGGCTCTGCTCAGTGCCTGCTTTCTGAGGACCAGCATCCTCGGCTGTCTTGGGCTGGCAAGGCTTCGCATCTGAAACCCATCTCTTACCACCTCAGGTGTTCTCTGTCCCTATCCTGGGTTCCTATGAGGAAAACAAAATGATCTGCCCAGTTCAGCTTTGAATCCAGTGGCCTTGAACAACTGTGGCTGCAGGGCCTAGAGAAGGATGTGGGAGGAACTAGATCATTGACCGATGTCCACTACCTGGGGCATTTCTCAGTATTGTTCCAAAACATCAAAGGGGCCCTATTTTAGAAACCATAAATAGTGGCCAGTGCTGGTGTGTAGTGAGTTAAACCACTGACTACAGTCCCAGCATCCCATATGGACGCTATCCATGTCCCGGCTGCTCCACTTCTAATCCAGTTCCCTGCTAATGTACCTGGGAAAGTAGCACAATATGGCCCAAGTGCTTGGGCCCCTGCACCCGCATGGGAGACCTGCATGATGCTCCTGGCTCCTGGCTCCTGGCTTCAGCCTGGCCCAGCCCTGGCTGTGGCAGCCATCTGGGGAGTGAATCAGTGCATGGAAGATCTCTCTGTCTCTTCCTCTCTCTCTCTGTAACACTGCCTTTCAAATAAACTTTTAAAAAATCATATCTTTCTCTCTCCTACTTCCTCAAAAGGTAATAAAAAATCATAAATAACTGAAAACATTATAAAGTTTTTAGCTCTCAAATCCAGTTTTGTTTGGTCAGGTAACTCATTCTCAAACTCAAAGAACACATATAAAGAAAACCAACAAGTATAGAGTCCTGTTAAGCCCAACCTCACAGTAAGAGTTGTAAATTGAAAATGTCTCAAAGTCCAAAGCAAATTTGAAAAAACCACACCTGTTGCTTACATTGTAAGTAGTGTCTTGGGGTTCCACAGAAAGCTAAATCCCGGAAATTATTTCACAATAGAGGAAGAGCTGTTCCAGGGACAGCTGGAAATATTATGAAATATTGTGAAAGGCCCAACAGTTATGTGCAAATAAATCTCAACTGTGCTTATTGGAGATTTAAAAACTGTGGGTTGGGGCCGATGCTGTGGCGCAGCAGGTTAAAGCCCCGGCCTGCAGCACCGGCATCTCATATGGGTGCTGGTTCGAGTCCTGGCTGCTCTGCTTCTGATCCAGATCCCTGCTAATGTGCCTGGGAAAGCAGCAGAGGATGGCCCAAGTCTAGAAGCTTCTGGCTTCTGATCAATTCATTGTGACCATTTGGGGAGAGAATCAGCAGATGCACGATTCTCTTTCTCTCTCTCTTTCTCTCTCTTTCTGTAACTCTGTCTTTCAAATAAAATAAAATAAAAATATTAAAAAACAACTATGGGTCAAGAGAAAGGGATTCAATGTAATTTAGCTAAGATTTATTCTTAAAAAGCTGCAACATTAGAACTTAGGTTCATTTGTCCACTCACCTCATGAAAGAGATCCTGTTGCTTCCAAGTTTGGGCAGTTATGAATAAAGCTGCTCTAAACATCTGTGTGCAAGTTTTTCTCCAGGTGTGAATTTTCAGTTCATTGGGGAGGAAGGCCGTTGCTGGGCGGTAAAATAAGAGTATGTTTGGTTTTATAAGAAACCAGCTTACTGACTCATCTGCTCCGTGTGGCATTGATGCAAGTCACTTCTGGTCTCCAGTTGGTCGCCATACTGGTCTGGTCTACAACGGCTTCAACTCGTATGCTTGGCACTTTGCTGAAAATAGCTGTCAGGCTGGGCTTTGCTGGAAATGCAGACAGGAGAGCCCACATGTGGCCTTTCGTACTGTTCCTTATAAAAATGACTTCCAAGGCCAGTGTTGTGGTGCAGTGGGTTAAGCTGTTGCCTGCGACACTGGCATCCCATATGAGCACTTCCAGTCCAGCTTCCTGCTAATGTGCCTGGGAAAACAGCAGCAGAAGGCCTAAGTACGTGGGCCCCTGCCACCCAGGTAGGATACCTGGATGCAGTTCCAGACTGCTGGCATCTGCCTGGCTCAGCCCCAGCCGCTGTGGCCATCTGGGGAGTGAACCTGTGGATGGAAGATCTCTCTCTTTTTGTCTTTGCCGCTCTGTAACTCTGCATTTCAAATAAATAAATAAATATTTACTTTTTAAAAACAGTGGCGTCCCATTTTACATTCCTCCTAGCAGTGAGTGAGCGTTCCTGCTGCGGCACATCCTCTTCAGTGTTTTAGGTTTTGGCCTTCTTACAGGTGTGTGGCTCCTGTTTGAACTTGCAATGCCCTGATGACAAAGGGTGACGCACATCTCTCTGATGTTTACCTACCATCTGTCTGTCTTCCCTGGCAAAGTGTCTATTAAGGTGTCTGCTCACTTTCAAATTGCGTTGTCCTTTTCTTTTTGTTGAGTTTTCAGAGTTCTTTGTATGTTTAGGATAGCATTACTTTATTGATGTATCTTTTGCAAATATTTTCCCAGTTCCGTGATTTGTCTTCTCATTCTCTGTCACTATTTTCCTCAGAGCAGAAGTTTTCATTAAAATGAAGTGCAGCTCTGCATGAACTGCTGTAACCAAAAAGACCGATATCATGTTTTCCCCGATCTGATGTAACTAATGAAGTACCTGAAATGTGATGTACTGAAATGAAGTCGACATTTTGAGAACAGATGATTGCTTACAGCCCTTGTCTCTTCCATTGAGGAACAATGTTTTGTTTTGTTTTCTTTCTCTTCATACTATCTGCTGAACTCCTTTACTTAGAGTAGGGTTAACTATATGATCATTAAATATACTGA